CATTTTCAAAGTTGATCTCGATTTTTTTTCCGATTTAATATACCCTATACATTAATTTTTATATTTAAATAATAGTATGGTCATTTCACTAGTTAATTAAGAAATATAATATTATTTGACAAAAACAATTGATAAATTTGTTGAATGATGCAGAGTTCAGGTGTCAAGTTTTGACAAAAATTTACAGATCCACCGTCTACGTTGTTTCATTATCTTATTATAAACAAGAAAACAGGAGAGGGAGCGAGTTATTATGACATCCACAATGTTTTTTATTGTTTTGTTTGGTGTTACTATAAAGAGTTATTTTAGCCTATTAGCCTAAAAGCTATTTTTCCCTATTTTAAATAGTGATGACTTCTTTATAGTTGAAATAAATTCATTAATATATGGAAAATGACACTTGAACAACCATTTTTGACAACATTTAGACACGTGTTCTCGTGTCTAAATGTTGTTAAAAATGGTTGTTCAAGTATCATTTTCCTTAATATATATGATTTTAAAGTCAGTTTTGCATTTTTGTTAACGTATTTTTAAGAGTGACAAAAAACATGGACATTTTGGCTAGTAAGTAAGAAATGGGAAGAAAGACAGCATCATAAGGGAGATAAGGTAGTTGTAGAAGACAGAATCAAAAGTGTTGAGGTGGAGGTTGAAGACCTTGTGTTTGACATAGATCATCGTAGTGATGAAGGTGAAGGTAGAATCATTGATGACGTAGCACACTACAAAGTGATGGGAGAAGATGAAGTTGATGGCAAAGGAGCCAAAAGGTAATATAGTTGAGGGTGACTTAGTAGAATGGATGTGTTGTTGAGAATGCAAATTAGAGAGAGAAAGGTGTTTAAATTTATAAAAAAAGAGTGATTCAAAAACGAAAAAGAAGATGGAAGGTAGTTTACAGACTTGTGTACCAACATAAATAGTGTTGCGGTTGAAGAAACCTAATTAATTATATTTTTGTAGTGTGATTGCTATTGAGTTTAAGTTTTTCATTTTTAATTATAAATTTTGAAGCATACATGTTTATAGTTAAATGAAGTTGAACTAGTCCCACTTATTTTAGGAAATTATTTTTTTTATCAATTTTGTAAAATAAATTATTAAACTTTAACTTTTTATTTATGTTAGATTACATGTATAACATTTTATCATTAATGAGTTATTACTAATACAAAATTTAAAATTACTTGTGAATTATAGTCAATTTAGGAGAAAACATCAAGCAGAGAAAAAATAAATAAAAAGAAATAGACTCGACAAGTTTTTCTTAAAATAAATTTATATATTATTTATAAAGGTTATAATTAAATACAAATTTACGTTTGACTTATAAGAATCAAACATAAAAAATCTTTTTTACATTTAATCTTTACGGATGAAATATAAATATTAACCATTTAATTATAAAAATATTACTACGTTTTTTACTTTTATTATTTACCTGTCAAAACATAAATTCAATTACGTGAGGAACAGATTTTGTAACACAATAACACATTAGTGGTAGGGGATTTATAGCCCAATATTATCAAAACAAACTTAATAATTTGTTTTTTTCAATAATATCCTTAACTGATGCTACATTTTAAGTTCATGGAAGCTAAATAGAATTTATACTATTTTATAATCTTTAACTTTTTTCTTTAAAAGAATATTGTTGTCATGTTAAAATCCACACTAAAATTCACACTAAATCAGTTTTAATAGCGTCACAGATGGACGGTAATATTTAGAAACTAAATTTATATTTTTATAACTTTAGACTACTTCTTTGCGTATCTACGCTCATGCTTTCTCAAATTAATATATACATGTGAGTCTCTTTGCATGAACATTTCTCACCCAGATAAATCATAATATAAGACTATAAAGTTATAACAATGCACGGGTGAGAAATGTGTACATTTTGATCACCACTTGTTCAATACTTTCTCGTTGAGGAAGAATGTCAACCACTATATGTTTAGTTTTGACACGAAACAAAAGGTTTTGAGAGAGACATCACGTTCACGTTTACAAAACAACTTATTTAAATACCCCAACCAAAGAACCTTTGTTGTGCTTGCATAAGGTTTTTATACTCATCTTTGATGATGGAACAAGCAATAAGGATTTACTTTCACTACTATGACGCTGAATTTGGTGCTTAGGGTTGTGCAGAATGTAACAAAAGAATCAATCAGAAAGTTAGGATTAGAGAAGAGAACATTGTTAGCAAATATTAATTAGGAGAAAACATTAACAATAAATTACTCCAAAGAAAAAACAATTAACTATATTAAACTTATTGCTTACCTAACCTTAACTATAATTTGAACAATTACAATTGGAGTAGTGATTGTCAATAACGATGTCATTAGATCTTAAAGCTCTTTTCTTAAAGGTTGAATCTTCAAGGTGAAGATAAAACAAAATTAAAAAATAGTAATCTCAAAGTATTTATAAAAGTTACAACGAGCTTAGTAAATTTTAAGCTAAAACTCAAATAGAAAGATATAACATCTCTGTAATTAACCATCATGAACATCATAAAGGTAAACTATAAAAAGGTTAAATCGTGTAATTTTATAAACATTTTCACAAAAATTAGATTTTTGATGATATTGTTTTCTCTAAAAAAATGTGCTTGAAAACTTTCTCCAAGAAAGAAAGAAATAAGATAAAAAAAAAAAAGAATGCTTGAATTGGTGCATCTTCTATTTACTAATATTGAATTTAATTCTTAATAAACAGTCCAAGTTCCACTATAATACATCATATAACTATTATCTTTTCATTCACTTCTAGATTCCCCATGTGTTATTTAATTATCTCTATACAACTATTATGCTTTTTTCATAGTTCTGTTGAAACTAAAACCACACTTCCAAATCATAAAGATTGTTTAACTCACTTGAATAACCAGATGAGTAACAAATAAGGTTTTAGTCTCACTCACTTAATATATATATATTGGAATTTGTAAAAGTAGAGCGTAGAGAGAAAAATTCAACTGATTTTTTAAAAGGTATTAGTTTATCTCAAAGTAACTTAGAAGTTTTAATAAGATAAACATTATCATGATATGGTATTTGAAATGCTTAACAAGTCATGTTAAAATGTTTCAAAACCACATTCATCTTTTACATAATTTAGTTTCTTAATGATACCATTTATAAGAAAAAAATGAAATCATGCTTAGTAGTTTATGACTATTTCACATATTAATTGACACACTTAAATTAACATAGCTTAATTGTAACTTCTCTTTCTCTTTTTTTTTATTGCATAACTATTTATATATTAGAATATTTGGGTTGTCTCAATCAACATACAAAATGTATAATGTTTTGTTAATAGGTTCAAGTTTTTTATAATTGAAACTTATAAATTTGATAATTAAATTTGTTGTCTTATATCCATCTAGAGTTGGTGTTGACACATTTCATACAAATCCAGCACAACATATCACATAATGAACATATCACATAATGGTTAAAGTATCTAATTGCATGAGAGAACATATATCTTTAAGAAAGATAACGAAAAACTTATAGTCTTGTGTAGACCAATCACCCTTTATAACTATATCTCTAACAGGTGTGATTAGTTCAACATTTAACACTAAGACTTGGTTGTGTTTTCAAGATATCATATCTGATTAGTAATCTGTCATGTTATCCAAGTGAAGGTTGCTCTAGACACATCACATTGCTCCTTCTGTACATTATTTACACTTGCATTCAAAGCAAAAATATGGAATATAGATGGTAGGTTCATTCCTCCTTCTCCCACACCCTCCATGTATCTATCTACCTGATTTTGCATTTGTAGTCTAAGATTCTTAAGATTAACTATGTTAATGTTTTCATGTTTCATCTACACTCTTAATTGAGTCATGCTAAAGATTTCTTCTCCATTAAATCTGACATTCTTAAACATTATATTATTCATATGTTTCCTTATACTCAGAAAATAATCATACTCTTTTGTAAATTTTATTCTCTTTACTATTGAGTTACAGTAAATAAAAATTGTTAAAAAAATTTGTCCTTCACCTTTATAAATAATTTCAAAAGAACCAAATTTGTAATTAATTCAAACTATTATATAGCACATATCACACCATTTAGTGTTACATTATAAAATCTATTAAATTTGTCATGAAATATGAGTGGACTAGGAAAATAGTATAATTGCAATAAACAAAAGATTACTAATTTGCACAATTGAATTACAAAGGAAAAAATAGAGAGAGTAAAATGTGGACAATTATAACCTGAAAAAACTTAGAATTATGTAAGTTAATAATATCAATTTGTTAGTTATATAATATTATTCATTTGAAAACATTTATTTTGTATAAGTCTGATACCTTTTAATAACTATTTAAATACATTTTTATTCTTCAACATATTGTTTAATACTTATTTTAACTTTTTTTAATTATAAAAAGTATTACTTTTTCCTTCTTGATTGTGTAGCTAGAAAACCTCCATTTTTTAATTAAATGTGTAGATTAAAATATAAAAAAATTGAACATGAACTGAAATGACAAAAACAGCTGGATTTTAAAACAGAAATAAATGTTTTCAATTTTTTTGCTATTTAATTATAATAATATTAATTTTTTGTCTTGAAATATATATTCAAGAATTATTGAAAATAATTTTTAAATTATTTTAATTGTGTTCCTATTAAAATATTTAAAAGCATAAAAATGAAATAAAACATGAAATAATAATTTTGAAACTATGACTAATCTTTATAATAAATAATACATCTTAATATAACTAAACCCAATATATATTTATACTTTTAATAAATGCATGACACAAAAATGAATATAATTTAAATAAGTTTATTAATAGACAAGTTTTCGTTTTGAATAATATGGAAAAAGAAAAACAAGTACTTGAAAAATAAGATTTCATGATGTGAATAAGCATATCTGACAGGAAATAAATAGATCTCTGCACCTTAATTATTAAAACTGAATAAAACCTTATTCATGGAGCCGCAACATCTGAATCTTTTCCTAACATTGGAAAATAACGGAAGAAAAATATTCACAATGACGGAGAAGTCTAGAAACTATTCTTCAAATAAAAATTTAAATAACTTTATCAAACAGAACTTTGGCAATGTGGAAGTTGGTGGTCCTTGAATCACAGAAAGCTGCATAGTAATAAGTCTTTACCACAGTGAGAAAAGTGTTCTTGATATTGAAATCAATGCCAGATGGAGATTTTTGGAACACCAATTGCACCAGTTCTTGCATTTGCGACTCAACTTCTGGGAATATCATGCTCTCCGATTCCTGATGGATTTTATTCCAAAAGAATACAATGTTACGAACAAAATCTTAATGTACATTATTTTAAAAATGAACACCAAACCTAAAAATGGTGCACAGTGCACTACTGCACTAAAGGACAAAGTCTTGTGTTGGGTGCTATTGAAATAAATAACAATTTCAATTATGCAATACATAAATGAAATGGTATATGCATTCTGTTCATAGGGTCTGAATTATGATTATTTTGAGAAAACCAAATCTGGTGCAGTGGGCAATTGGCCATTGGGGTGATCCCTTTTTAGTATTTATTTTTTCTGTCGTAAACCCTTTTCCTTAAAGCTGCTGAGTTCACTTTCCTAGTAAGAATAATCCAAAGTATGCAGCTTTTTAGGCACACTAGAAGGTCATGTGTAATAATACTAGCATGCTTTTTTATGCTCGAGAGAGAAAGTGGAGAAAGTAAGAAAAAATGCATTAAAGGAATAGAGCCAAAAGATGAAGGTTTGGAAAGTAGGTAGCATTTGTCATAGGATATGAAATAATGGTTGCTCTGTCACTGACCTTGTCCTTTTGATGACAATAGAGTGTATGGCAGAGTGAGTTAGTGAGTTGAAGGAGAGTCTCATATTGAGGATCGAACATTTGATCCTCTGAAATCCAATGCCCACCACATAGGTTTATTATCTGCGCCAAAAGCTCTCCTTGTCCTTCACATTTGTCTCCTTCCTCGTGCCAACTTGAAAGCCACTTTTCCCACTATAATAACATTACACAATAGAAAATTCAAAATGATTAAGGCATTCGAACCAGTACTATGATTTCGTGGTTGTAATGGTCAACTCATGTTTGATTCTCCATTTTTGTTTTGAATTCCAATTTCCAACCCATCATTCCTTTTCAATGGCTACTCAAATCATTATATGTGTGAGAAATGTCAAAGGTGACGGAGTCTCAACTGAATTCTGCTGCAGTGCAGATTAACTATTTACCTTTTACTTTTCAAAACCTGACAAACTTGTTACAACCTTAACATCAAAATCTTTAAAATTTCTTATTTCTTAATCACTGTGTCATGCCAGATTGGGAATTGTCATTCCAGTAAAAAGTTTAAACCCCTACTTTGATCATAGAGACAACATGAGATTTCATTTTATACATAAAAATAGTAGCAAGGTATATTTTTATTTTATTTGGTATTTACTATAACATAATTAGAGAAAATATTAAGTTCATGTATTTTTGCAGAGTTGGAAGGGTAGATTCATTTATTGACAAAAATCAAGTTTGACTGAAAATGATAGACTCACCGCACGATGCATATCATATCCGATTTCATGACCTTGAGAAACAAGTATATCCCATGATATTTGATCTATGGTCGTAACCAAAGTTTTCACCAGTCCATGTCCTGTTGTGTTCCTGTTGAACCTCCTGCGCATCGGAACACATAAAATAAGCATGTTTAATTATGTATCAATTTAGTGTATACTTATATCGAAACAGATATTTTAGATGATAAATTCATTTTAGAATGAAAGTTAGCAAGAATGCAACTCTACCACTCTGGGTAGCCTAGGCATTTTGATGTCTACAAAATAATTGGTTAACAGAAAGAGAGAGATAAGTTATTTGTCATGAGGACATGACTTGGTCATATGTTGTCCATATCAAATAGGTCAAGGTAAATAAGTCTCTCATGATCCTAAATATCCTTTTTCCTTATAAAAATAAAGAATTTAGTCAATCTCCTAAATTTTACATTTCACTCAATATATTCAAAGAACTTGAGTTTGAATCCATTGTATCTAATAAATTAGTCCATGAGTAAAAATAAACTAAACATACTAAACATCAAGTTTGAGACTTTAATTAATATATGACATGTTGCAATATTAAATGAGATGAGATAATTTACCAGCCAATGGAGTCACGCCTGCTAATGCAGTCACTGAAACCTTTCATGAAAGTTTTTCTCATTTCTGCATCACTAACATAGGATGTTATGGTCTCAAGTAAGACTGTGCTTTTGGCCCAAGCAAACCTCACATGAGATTTTTCTGGTTCAAATATGCTCGCTGCTGCCAGAAAATAAGCCAACAGAAGAGTTCTTCTGTTCATTCCAAATTCTGCCAATCTAGATTCTGAGTACCACCTGAATAATTAAATATCATCACAATATGAGAATAAATTACATTATATAAAGAATGAAGAAATTGATTGAAGCATTAGGCTGTGGAATGGTTCTAGATGTTCTTACTTCTGAATCCTCCCCCACTCCATTAGATGCATTCCTTGACAATTGTTGTAATCTAATTTAGCAAGCTCCAGATAGTTGTTGTTGTTCACAAAGGGCATCCTGTATCCAAAAAGTAGTTAGGGAGGATTTAGTTAAAGACCCACTTATAATAATAAATCATAATTATGTAGAATATTATGTTATAATTTTAATCATAAAAACCCTAATATGCAGATTTCAATCAAACAATTATTTTAGAAAATATATTTTTTAATTTATTTAATAAATATTCATTGCAATATAAATATTCATTGCAAACCCTAATATATATTTAATGAATTATTATTTTTAATATAAATTTACATTTGCCATATTTAATAGCCAAAATTCAAAGTACATAGGCAAAAAATTTATTTGTGAATCTATTTTGAGGTTTTTTTTATTATATCTATTTGTCTCTCTCTATCTAAGAAATTGATGATCCAACAACCAACAACATTTATATGGGTGAGTCCTTGTCACTGTTTTATTCTAATTTGACAAATAAATGGCAAATGATTTTGTACCATTACTTTTTTTAACCAAAATAGTATTATAAATTATAAAAAATTGTTTTCTGACATCAACTTTTTAAAAGACCAACAATACTTATCTTTATATCTTTTAAATATTCTTGACTATAATTTAACACGAATATAATATCTTTTGTCCACATGCTAAAATTTGATGATTGGATCTATAAACTATTATAAAGAAAGAAGGATCTCAAGTTTAAATATAATGTTTTTACTAAAATATTATTTTCACATATCACAATAAAGAGTATATTTTAATTTTAAGGTAGTTGATGTAAAAGACAACAAATTTATTATGAACGATTAAGTAATTAGATGATAACTTATATTATTTTCTAATAAAAATGTCTCCATCCTAATCTTTTGCAGAAAAAAAAAACTTGTGAGTAATGATGACATCTAATAGAGGTCCTTCTTAAAACATTTAATTATTGGGGTTATTTTATGTACGATTACTCAAAAAAAATCTTTTATATAGCAACGACTAAATAAAAACTAGTTTTTTTTTATTAGTTATTATAAAATTCAACCAACACATCCTTTAGTAAATATTTGATAATGGTAGTAAAAATTATTTTATATTAGCTATTCAATAAAGTTCCTTAATATTTATAAAATTTACATGAGTCTTACATGGTAAATTTTATTTTAAAAAAATTATTATACATTGTAAAAATTGATCATTTGATTAATAGTATTATGTATGTATTTTTAAGTGAAAATATATAACTATTTGGTGATTTATTTTGCAGGGAACACAAAGTATGGAGTAAAATATTAACAAAAGAAAATGGATGAAAAAAAAAGGAACATGAAAGAATGAAGGAAAGTGCAAAGTACCTGTAAAGAGTCTTGCCAATCCATACGTCACTCTCACCGCCGTATTGATCAATGTAGAATCTTGTCTCCACTCGAGGCATACTTGCATACCATGGCACGTCCAATGCGTATGCCACCTAACAATATCACACGCTTAATTTCAATGTCACTAACACAAGCTTCGTTAGTCCAATCACTATCATTTACTTTACCTCTTCTGGTAAGTTTTTCATTATAATCCATTTATCTACTAACTCATTTGCTTCTCTCTTTTCCTTCAAAAATTTTGAGGAGAACTTCTTCCCATCTTCTAGAATTTTCTCTCCAGGAAACATTACTTGACTCGCCCTTAACAGATTGAACATTCCTGTCACAGCTTGTGTGCTTTGTCCCTTAAAACAGAAAAATTCACAGTTCTTCTCAAAGTGTTTGAACACATCTGTCAAATGTCAAAATCACTTCAATTAAATAACATGTTTCTTCTTCTTCAGTATTTACATTTTTATGTAAAATAATTCTCATTTTTCATAATAATTATCCATTTCACTTACCAGCTGAAACTTGATGGCCATGTAATCTCAGTAATCTGAAACCCATTGCCGTGTCATCGATGTCTTCAACATCTGAATTTCTTGCCCAACAAATACCCTTCTCGGTCCAATATCTGAAATTTCAACTATAAATTAGAATTGAACATGACAGACCTCTGTTTCATGGTCGGTTAATTTATTTCCAAAGTGCATTATAAAATATTAATATGAGGACTATGATCATTATTATATTACCTATAAACATAGCTTATACAGTCTTTGATCTCTTGCTGAAAATACCGAGATATTCCTAGGCGTTCTAGCCTATCAACCACCCAAATATGTTCAAACAAATCCACTGGATACACGTTTGGAACTGTATAGAAACAACAAACAATTATAAACTACTAGATTAGTAAACAAAAGCGGAAATGAAGATTAAACTGAAACTCACCCACATTGATGTAAATAATGGTAAACCAAATTATAAAGAAAGATATCTAGGACAATCATACTATATAAAATACATCGAGGTTTGAAATTATGACCACAAGTCATGATACATGAGAAAATTGTAGATAAATATAATGCATTGTGTGTAAAAGAGAGTTACCTCCACCATTGAACCTCTTGACGATTTGATTCAAGTAACCATGGCAATTTTGATCTTTGGTTTGCATGAGAGCAAAAGCGGTGGAAGAAGGAGAAAACAAGAAAGACCCGTCTTGAGACTGAAGTTTCAGAAGTGATTTCCAGTCCAGGTCTGACATCCCTTCCAAGCTATGAAGCAGACTTGTGGGCACTTTATGCATCATCTCTCTTGGTATTCTATTCCCCACGCACCAAGGCCCACACAATAATGACACACACGTTAAAGGGAGTTTTTGCAGTACATGTAATAAATTAAAAAAGTTATGACTCTTATATTTGTATACTTTCCCAGAAAAAAGAGTTGCAAGATAAGGTTGCTTTGAATCTATTATCAAAATAGACATGGGCACATACCAGCTCGCTGGCAAGCATAATCATGACCACAACTATGGTACCTTGTGAGTTTTACGTTTCTCATTGCAAAGATTTTGTTCAGGATTGGGGAATTTTCAGGCACATCGATCTCCAACTCACGAGCCAGGTCAAGAAGTGATGGGAAAGCTACTTCAAACCCAATTGGCATATGCTCCGCATTCTCATCCTCAAGCTTGTTAAGATTCTCCTTAAAAAATGTCATTCCTGTGCAACATTAATCAAACTTGTTAGTAATTGACGTTTATTAAGTCAGAGTTATTGTTCAGTATTAGTACTACCTTTCTCACACTTTTCAGGGTGCATATTCCATGATTTTAATGCAATAACACAAGCTAACGTGTTTATGATCCGATCATGGGCTGAAAACAATTCCTGATCACCCCATGATCCATCCTCAAGTTGGTTTTTTGCTATCCATTCTAGACTCGTTGGAAACTGAGGAGCACCACTTCCATTAACATCTTTTACCAGAGCAACCCAAGCAGTGTCATAAGCAGACACAGTTATCTCTCCATCTTCCAACGAACTCAATATTGATTTGATAGTGTCCACTCTCTTCTTGATCTCTTTTGCCACCAAAACCTTTTTTCAACAATGTTATTTTTGCAAAAAGAAATTGCATGTGTAAAAAGAATAATTAAAAAATGTCATCAAGAAAAGCACAAAACAGAGAAGTGAGAAAGTTAAAGCACCCCAGTGTCTTGCTCCTCTTCTATGTCCTCCTCCACATTAACATCAGGCAACTTTAATACTGTTAGACCACCCTGAAATATGTCTGAATATTCTGCATAACCAACAACATAACATTGGTTTAACCAGCTTTGCAAAAAGTAATTAATATTAAACTGTTCGATAAAAAGTTAATTAAGAAACTCAATCATACCTTGTGTTCGTGACTTGGATATAGCTCTGCATCTTATCTCTTGTTTGTCGCTGGTATCAGAGAGCACAGAACCTACATACAAAACGATACAAATATTTCACTAAATTACTTTTGTTGGATGGAATTAAGTGCTGTGTTACTTCAGCTTGCAGTAAAAAACTATTCCTCTCTTGGTTTCTTTTTATACTTTTTTGTTCTTTTGGGTGGACAAGTAGAAAACAAGAGACAACTCAACCAGCAACTTTAGCCAGCATGACAGTGAAATCTTGAGCTGAAAGTTACTGAATCGGAACCTCTATGTTCTTAACGAAATTTATTAAAAAATATTAAACTCCTAATCAGCACAGGAAGAAGCCATGCACATATGCCAGAAAGTGAAAGAAAATAAGTTCGGTTAAAAGAAAATAATATTGTAATAATTATTTGATGAAGTTTATGCAGCATTTGGCTTGTATAGTTTTCCACTAGACAAGTTGAAACTGTTTTGCTTTCACATTCTTAGGTAATAGAGCATGTTTTTCTCATCAACAGAAACTTACAGCTCAATTAGAATCTCAAAACAAAAAGAAAATAGAACAGTGAGTTAAGAAATCAGCAAAAACATTGTTGTGGTGAGACAAGTAGAATCAAGAAAAAGAAGTGGGTAGAAGAAATGAATAGGAGAAATCATTGCGCATACATAAGAGACTTACCAAGAGAGGATTTGGAGAAGAGGTGAAGAGAAATAAAAGAAGAAGATGACGAAGATGATGGAGATGGAAAAAGGAAATGGTTAGAAGAAGAGAAAGAAGGAAGGTGGCAGTGGGTGGAGAAGGAAGAAGCCATGGTGTGTTTGAGTTGATTCAAAATAATTTATGTTTGGTTGTGGAGAGAAAGGCAGAGTTTAAAAGGCGAAGGAGAGGCAAGCAGACAAATGGTTTCCCAGGAGATTCCCGCTAATGGTTGCATGGCATCATCTATAACTAAACAATTAAGGGTACTCCTGTCCTCTTCTTATTACCATTTTTTTTTTCCTTTTCTCTTCCATCTTTTTACTCATAAAGAATCGGGAACTAACAAAAATTTAATATTATCATATTATACCCATTTAATTTTATAGTTCAGATACTAAATTATATTAAAGTTTCAAATTAGATTTTCAATGTCATATTAAAATAAGAAGATAAAAGAAAAAAAAAAATAAAATTATTCGTTTTAAAGGATGTAAAGTAAAAATAAAATAATTTGAAAATAAATCATGAAAGTTTTTGAATGATTTTATAGATACGATGAATAAAAAAATATTTTAATAAATAAAATTATTAGATTATAGTTTTAATTATATGGTTAAAATTAATATAAAATAAAATAATATTAATAATTATTATTATTATTAGTTTTAGTGTTATTAATAATAATTAATATAACTATATTATTATTATTAATTATCCACAAAGTTTAATAATTATTATTATTATTTTTTTCCTATGGTTTTAATTATTAATTTGTACATGTCATATTTAAGTAACAACATTTGCAACCATAGAAATTTTGCATAAATATACAACATTTGACATGGAAAAAAAATAAAACAAAAAGTATATTAATGATATTTTTTTTCTCTCACCATGCAAATTATTTTTTAGTATTCATAAAACATTATTCTTATAATATTCAGTGTAATTACTATTCCAATTTTATATACATTATATATTAGATGATTTTTGCATTCTATTGTTTTCAATGATTTAAAATTCAGTTTCGCATTTTGACTTGAAAAGACATCAATTTTTGGCTTCATCATAATTAAATTAGAATGGAACATATAATAGCTTAATATCTATTTTTAATATTGTATATTATGTTTTGTAATAAACTAATAATATAAAATCATTAATTAAAATAAATTGAAGTAAAACTTAAATTAGCATGAAACATTAAAAGATTATTTTACAAACATTATATTTTTTATCCCGTCCCTATATACTTTTTATTGCATACATTTAGAAAAGATAATATTCATATGTTTTCTCATCATTTATTACATTTTATATCTCTTTTTCTAAGTTGTGTAATTTATGGTATGAGATATTGTATGGATAAGTAATATGAAGATTATATAGGCACACATAACATTATCTAAAACATATACTAAGTACACTGTAAACCACTCATATATATACATATATAT